TGGGTTTTCCAGAACCAATCCCGAATCTCTTCATATATTGTATTCCTAGACTCCTGTCCATATCCCCATTTAGTCCAAAATCTTGACCGAAGTCCTGCAGTGGTGGATCCCAAAGACACATTCTGTGCATTCTACAGACTCTCTAAGTCAAAGCCCTACCCCAAACCTCCTTTTCCCCCTACTTTTTCATCATGCAATCTAAATATCAGAACCTTCCACAGTGGCTCAACCTCATTCCCCTTAGTCTAATCCTGCCAGTTTTATCACGTGAACAAACCTGCACTCTACCTCTGTCTCTTAGCCAAAACTTCATATCTCTTGTCAGTAGTCTCTCTCCGTCATCCCTTTTGAGATGGTAGGGGTCTGACCATGGAGCCCAGGCTAACTGCTAACAGTTCTGCTGAGCTGCCGAGGATTACAGGCCTGTGTGCTCCCCTATTCCATATTCTCTATACTTTTACTTCTGTGCCAGAGACGTCCGTCTGCGACACCCCTTCTCCAAGAACTATCCTAGCATGAGCCTCTCTGGAGTCATGGGGGGTTTCCTCCCTCATCTTCCCACTGCCTTTGTCATGACTCTCCACAAATGCGGCTCGTATTTCTGTGTTTGCCTGCTAAGCATGATACTTCATGCTTCCTGGCTTCATCTCATTTTGTCCCTGGCACACTAGCCAACAGAGAGAGTGCTCCCCATGTATCGTACTGTCTAAGCCCACGAGACTCACGCAGAACTTCAGGTCCGAGCTGTGTCCATTTTGTAGGGAGCACTGAGGCACAGAGTGAGTAAAGAATATCCCTAAGGTTGCACAGCAAGCAATAGAGCTGGGCTTAAACTCAGACAATCTGCTTATAATGTGTTCTCTTAAATACACGGGTCATTTTTTACTCTGGGCTTCCACAATTGGGGCATCTCATTTTGCATTTCTATGACCACCTAGTGTATACTGTTGGATTTGACATCCTCTGATAATCATTTGCCTCCAGACAGGGGCAGAGACCTGATCACATGCATCTTTGAGGTAATTTTGTTTTGTTTGTATGTGGAGTCAGTGATGCTGTGGCATTTGCAAGGACTTCAGATGACCACCTCAGGTGTCATGCCTTCCACCTTGTTTAAGATGGTGTTCCTGTTGTTTTTCCACCTCATGTGCCAAACTGGCTGACCCTTGAACTCTGGGAATTCTCCAGGGTCCACCTTACATTTTGCTGTAGGTGTACCAGGATTTCACACAATGGACCTGTGTGTTCTACTTTCCCATGCCTTCTGAGGGTTTAAATTCAAGTCCTCAGGTTTATGAGGCAAGTGTTTTACCCTATCTTTGAGTTTTAGTGTTAGGTGAGAGGCTGACCTCTCTCTCTCTCTCTCTCTCTCTCTCTCTCACACACACACACACACACACACACACACACACACACACTGAGAGGGGAAATTTTAGTTGGCTAAATTAAAGGAAAATAATCAGCCAGGTGGTGCTTAATTCCAGCACTCAGGAGGCAAGTGAATCTCTGAGAGTTCAAGGCTAGCCTTGTCTACAGAGCAAGTTCCAGAACAGGCTCCAAAGCTACACAGAAAAACCAGGTCTCCATGGATCTTAAGATTGTAGGTATAAAGCTCAGAGGTAGAATGTTTGCCCTGCACTTAAAAAAAGAAAAGAAAAAGAAAACTGGACCAGGTGTGGTGGCACATCCTTTTAATTCCAATACTTGTTAGGCAGATGCAAGTGGAGGCCAGGCTAGTATACATAGCAAATTCCAGCTCAGCCAGGGCTAAACAGTGAGAGACTGTCTCAAAGGAAGTTATAATAATAATGTGCCCATGCTGTTTGTTATTGTAGTAGGATGATCATGCTCCTTAGCATGAGCATGTGTATAATGCATATTATACATAGGGTAATATGGTAAATGCAATAGCAGTGGTACCCATCTCTACATTTCCAGTCTATAGAACTGAATGTGAAATGAAGAATATTAATCATTATTATTGTGTGAGATAAGCTTATTTGTGAAAATTGTCCTTTTTTTTTAATTGGCAGATTCTTGAAGATAAAGCGTAAGTTACAATATTTTATTAACAAAAGGTATTCGTTAATAAGTTTCAAATGCTTTAGGTTTTTTCAAATACAGAATTTGTGTATGTGTGTGTGGTGTTTACAGGTGTGCACGTACCTTTGTGGAGGCCAATGAGATCAGATGTCCTGCTCTGTTACTCTGCCTCACTCTTTGGAGACTGGGTCTGTTACTGAACCTGGAGTTAAACCAGTTTCCAGCGACATCCATTGATCTCCTGTCTCAGCTCCACCCCAACCCCAGCACTGGGTTTGCAGTCTGGCATGCCTAGCTTTGTATGTGGGTGCTGGGATCTGAACTCAGGCCCCCGTGTTTAAGCAGCAGGCTCCTTTCCCTACTGAGCTATCTCTCCAGTCCCTTAAATACATAATTTTAAAAACTACTTTTATAGCAGTGATTTTGGCTAAGTAAAAAGAAACCAGATGAAAACACCTAGCTGAAACCCAATGTTGCACTCATGCATACTCGTATTCTTTGTGCACCCATGGCTATAATGGCATAGTATTCGTAGACAGGTGACATTCCAAGGTAAACCAATTTGGGAAATGTTGCTGTAAAAGCTTACATTTTTCGTGTTAAACATTCACTGATAAAAATCACTGCAGCTCTGTTTAGAAAAACATGGATAACCAAAGAGTCTATACTTCTAGAATCTGTGTTTGGCAGAAAGAAGAAAACTCTGAAAAGACAGACTGTTAGCATTTCTGGTAGTTCCCTTAGCATCACTGCAGGCTAACTCTGTATGCCCAACTTCAGTTTCAAGGCATGAGTCTGAGATGTGGCCACCAGTCTCTCACTCACACCTCAGTTCATGCCATTTAGTCCGGTGTTCACATATGATGTGTTTATTGGACTCACACTTACTTATTTATAAATGTGTACATGAATTTGTCACAATGTATTTTTGCCTGAATAAAATACCATGTAGAGCTTATTGATGCAGAATCATAGCATGTTTTGTGCCTGTGTGTGCTGGAAATTGAACTCAGGGCCTCATATATGCTGAGCACACCTGTGCCTCTATACTTTACCCTCAGCCTCCAAAATATAACTTTTAAAGGGTAAATACCCCCCCCTTTTTTTTAAGAGGTTAGGCCTTATGGCCCACAGAAAATCTATGTGGGACACAGGCCCCAATTCGCACCAAAATTATGAGAGTGGGCTTAGAAGTAAAAGCCTTTGCTGCCCCTGCCCCAGTAAACGTTACCAGTGAAGCTGAAGGAATGACTGCCTGGGACTCTTTCCTCCACATTCTGAACCATTCGAAGAGGAATCCTTAATGTGGACAAAGGGAAAAGCCTCAGGGAATTAGGCATCATTGTCCACTAATAACAAACGCGTAATACTGCGGTGGGTCACCTTCTAAATAGAAAATAGGAATATTCACCAGAGCCAGTCTGTCACCTCAAGGTCCATGCGGAAGTGCTGATTTTAGCTGTTTCACACTCATGGTAGAGGAATGGGCTTGGCATACGTAACAGCGTGGACCGGGGCTCAGCAGGAGGAAACTCAGAGACCATCACTGCTGATGTCACAATGTCCTACTGTCCCAGAGTGAACCTACTTCTCTGCCCCAGTAGGCGCAGTCCTTCCTAGATGTGACCCCCTCTGCTCAGGTATTCATCCTGAACAGCTCTTCAGTTTCAATGGATGAGGTCAAGGGAGAGAACATGGCCTCCAACAGGCCTCTCCCACCAGGATGGCAGAAGAGCGCCCTTGTTGAATTATCACTGCTGCCCCGTCTTTATCACATGGATAGTATGTAAGATATAAAACTGCCTTGCTGGGGCTTGGTAGTCTCAAGTACAAATGAAAATATTGTGTTAATTTTTAATAAAAGTCCACAAAATAAATTTAAAAAATCCTGTTTGATTCATTGTTAGTGAACTGTTCCCCAAATCAGGAAAATAACCAGGTTTGCTCACCTGTAATCCCAGCATGGGGAGACTGAGGCAGATGGATCTTGAGTTCTGAGCCAGCTGAGCCACACAATTGAGACCCGCATCTCACAAAACACAAAACATCAGGGAAATATAGACACATTCACCTTTCTCTCTTGAGTGTGAGATTCTCAGGCCACTGCTGCCTGCTAGCTAATGGCACAGTGCAGGCAAATGGCAAACTTTCAGGTTTCCTCACAGTGACATTTAAAGGTTTTTTGGTTGGTTTTTGGTTTTTCAAGACAGGGTTTCTCTGTGCCGCAGCTCTGGCTGTCCTGAAACTCGCTTTGTAGATCAGTCTGGCCTCAACCTGCCAGCCTCTGCCTCCCAAGTGCTGGGATTAAAGGCATGCACCACCATCGATGGGAACATTTTAAGTTTTTAAAAGACATTATTTATTATTTAATATTTCATTTAACCCAAATATATATTCAATATAAAATATTACAGAGATGTTTTATGTTCTGTTTTCCAGGTAGGATTTGTGTTAGGTGAGTACTTCCACCTTCCATGCATACTAATTCAGAAAGAGGAACTGCATTTCAGGCCAGCTGCTGTCCGTGGGAGCAGTTCCTGCTTCAGTTAGCTCCGGCCTGGGCGGTAGTTGGCCTGAAACAGATACTCAACAATCCTGGGAGGTTTGTATTCTTTTAAAATTATTATCGGGTTTTAAAATTTTTGTTTTGTACATTTGGGTGTTTTGCCTTCAAATATGTCTGTGCACTGTGTGCATCTAGTACCCTTGGAGGTCAGAGATAGGTGTTGTCTCTCCTGGGACTGGAGGTACAGACAGTTGTTAGCTACCATGTGAGTGCTGGGAATTGAACCCAGGTCCTCAGGAAGAACATCCAGTGCTCTTGATCACTGAGCTGTCTCTCCAGCCCCAAAGTTTTTACCTTCACAAAATAAACAGAAATCAAAGTGAATCTGAAATATTTGTGTATAACCAGTAGAAAGCACAGAAATTTAGCACTTGGGAAGTTCTGATAGTTCAATTGAAGCCAAACTTTGGACAAGAGAGAAATAAAGTATAATAGAAATAAGCATCTCAGAGCTAGAGGTGCAGCTCAGGTAATGAGTGCTTCCCTACCATTGCACCAGTGCTGGTTCATTCCACCAGCAACCAGAAACCAGGCATAGTTACAGCCTTCCTAATACCCGCACTCGGGGAAGGAAAACCAGGTACAGTGACAGCCCTCCTAATACCCGCAATAGGGGAAAAACCAGGTATAGTGACATCCCTCCCAGGCAGAGGAGTCAAATGTTTATTGTCATTGACTGTATAGTTAGTTGAGGACAGCTTGGGCTATCTGAGAGTCTGTCTCAAATGTGTGTGTGTGCATCTGTACGTCTGCCTTGAATACATATTTTTATATGTATAGCAATTTAGAAAAACCACATATACAAAACTTATTTTCGAGGTCCTGGGAATTGAACCTAAGGTCTGTGTCCAGACAAACAAGCCCTCTCCGCTGAGCTACATTTCAGTCCTCTCTTCACAGTTTAATTTTGAATAAGCCTTCCAATGTTACCAAGCCTGACCTTAAACTCACCCCTAACTGGCCCCATCACAGTGTGTAATAACTTCAAAGAAATTACTTAGGATGAATGAGAAGAGTTTTAAGAAAAATTTTCTTAACAAATATTAGAAAACAGAAAAAAATATCGATATCAGAGTCAGGTAAGCATAAGTGAATGAGGATAATCAAAATAACAAAATGCTCATATTATAAGATGATCATTTTGAGGGCATTCTATACAAAAGGAATGTCAATGGAGAAATCAAAGTCCAGCTGCGTTGATGTGACGTGAGAAACTAGGAGATCCTTTTAGGGCAGCTGAGCAAGGAAATGACTGGGCTGAATTCCTCACGGGGATGTGAGACGGCTTCTAACTGACCTGCAGCGATGAGTAAAGGCTATGACCACAGTTCTCTCAGTGGGACCCAAGCCGTGAATTATAGAGAATTTGATGTTTAGAGGTTGTCTTTGCTTTTGTTTTCTGCACTGCTGTAAAAGAGGTCTCACGGTTTTCTTGATAACCTTGACTACTTGGAATGGATCAGGGTGGGTGTTGAGTGGGGAGGAAGAAGCCTGAGGCCTGTGGCTGGGCAGGCCTGGTGAGCTCTGGGGTGTGGGGAGAATGACAGCAGGACTAGCAGGTCAGGCCTATCTGGAAGGAGCAGCCATTGGGAGGGGCTGAGAGAGATTATGTTTACTCTGCATCCATAGGACTCCGCGCACAGCTGTGGAGTCGGAGAACACCATGCTCGTCTGTGCAGCTGTGCTGGGCTGCCTACCCTGGCTGAATTCAGTGGCCCACGTCCAGGCTCCTTGTTTACTAGCTCTGAGGAAGGGGTTAAGTTGGCTGATTTGGGGTCTGAGAGAGGCCTCCATTGCTTTCAGGTGGGGGCTGATCTTCAGAACTAATAAACAGCTTTGATAGGCATAAAGTCACTGACTAGAATTTTCCACAGCACCTCTGATATCTTAAGTTCAGATCCCTTAGGTTTTTTTTTAGTCGTTTTTACATTTTTTTTTAACAACTTACAAATTGGCGTACGTCATCAGCTTTGCAACTTCTGACCCAAAAACAGTCATGGACAGAAAACATGTTCCACTTCATCACTGCATGACTGGACATGCCACCTTCCCTCCTTGGTAGCAAAGTCTGTATTAAATACTTAGCTCCCCTCTGTGTCAGAGTTCCTGGATGGATAGCTGCTTTCAGTAAGTCGCCTGTGTGAACACAGAACAATGTGTGTCACGACCCTTTAGAATGCTAGACATACAAAACAGAACCAGTCCCACAGTTCTGGAAGGCCTTCCCATGCTACTCATCCCAGAGTCTGCGTCAAGCCACACGGAATCTGTGAGAGGTGAGGTCTCTGAGGAAACTGCAGGTGCTGGGGCAGGGGGTGAGTGGCGAGCAGAGGGCTAGTTCAGCAACAGGAGAGGAAGCTTGAGTCACCCAAACTGGTCATTTCACTGTAGAGGTGGCAATGGCTTATTTCCTAAACTCTGGGCCTCACCTGTAAAAGGTCTACCGCGTAGCCTGTGTGGAGGATAAAGGAGACAGTACACATAGCACAAGACGGTGAGTAGCGGCTGCCCATTCTAGAAGAGGTGACATGTGAATTGAGGTGTATGAACAGCAGTGAATATCAGACTAAGGTGATTTTATTTTCAAAAACAAAGTTTTTGAAGTAACTTAATGAATTATATACCAAGATTTGGAAAGAACCAGTTCCTTCCAGTGGCCTTATATTCGTACAACACTACACAACACAAATCAGTCATAGTAACAAGTACCGCAGAAGCATAGTGAAGGCAGCAGTGACTGGACAGCCTGACCCCCGAAACCACAGGCCGACACATAGGTTCTTCTGACAGCTGGCTGGCTCTTGGCATCTGGAGACACTAAACAGCAGAGTTAGCCGGTTGTTCATAAATATCTGTGTACATTATCACACCCCTCCTCCAGATCTCTAGAGAATGTGATCTCAGGATAAGAAGTTGTGACAACAATGGCCAGCAACAACTCAGGAAGTATCTTTTAATCGCCCCATGATACAGAAGAAATTAGGAGGCAGCACACTCCTCTCCTGTCTAGTCAGTGGAGCTGATGCTGAGTATGAAGTCCTGGCATCTCATCTGCTTCTCTTCTTGTCTGCAACAAGACACAGTATGAGATTCTAGACATGCCACACCAGTTAGATGGCGGTCAGACTGTTGAGTGAGATCTGGCTTATTCCTTAGTGGTAACTTGGGAGTTGGCGGAAACTGTGATGGTTCAGATAGGTACTCTAGAGTTAGCACACTACACACTAGGTTCAATCCTGCACCAGATGATGATGATCTGACTCACATGTAACATGAGGGGCCGGCTTGTTGGGGTTTCTGTCCCTTTCAGTACCCCAACAGCCAGCAAGCAACAAAGAAAATAACACAGAGTCTACATTAGGTTATAAACTGATTGGCTCATTAGGTCAGGCTTCTTTTTAGTCCTTGTAACTTAAATTAATCCGTTATCATTATCTATGTTAGCCATAATGGCTCAGTACCTTTTCCAGCTGGGCAGGTTACATGCTGCCTCTTCAGTGGTCTGCGCAGGAGTGGCTGAGGAACTTCTCTCCTCCCTAGCCTTATCCTATTCTCATTGCCCTGCCTCTACTTCCTGTCTGGTTGACCTGCCTATACTTCCTGCCTGGCCAATCAGCGTTTTATTAAAATACATGATTGACAGAATACAGATAATTCTCCCGCACCACTCACAGAAAGTGAAACATTACAATTTATAAATTATAACACTTGTTTTATAATGAACACTTGTTTACATGTCTGTGGAAGCATGCTGCCATACTATGAGCCAAGAGCCTGACTCCAAAGTGAAAAGACAAATATGAAAATAAAACAAGAGACTAACATCCCTTTTAAATATACATGCAAAAAATAACTTCAGAAGTATTAGAAGACTAGCATGAAAATGCATTCTTTTTTTAATATTTATTATGTATACAATATTCTTTCTGTGTGTATGTCTGCAGGCCAGAAGAGGGCGCCCAACCTCATTACAGATGGTTGTGAGCCACTATGTGGTTGCCGGGAATTGAACTCAGGGCCTGTTGGAAGACCAGGCAATGCTCTTAACCACTGAGCCATCTCTCCAGCCCATGAAGATGCATTCTTGAGTTCTAGTACTTGGAAGGCTGAGACAGGAGAATCACAAGTTCCAGACCAACCAAGCGACATAGAAGATCCTGTCTTGAAAATATTAGCGGACAGCTTAGAGTGTAGCTGCTGGTGCTAGACATTTCTCCTTGTTGAGGCCTTGGACCGAATACCTAGCTTGCACAAAAACTTGACATAGTGAATCTAATACTATACAAAACTATTTACACAGTATGACCAAGTACCCAGAAATTCAAAGTTGATTTTATCATTGAAAATCAACTGAGGTCATGTATGATTTTTAATGGAATCAAAGACAAAAAACCTCATAATCATGCAGAAACAGCATTTAACAAAATCTAACACCTATTTAGAGGGTTAAAACTGATGGAAAGAGTGTGTGTGTGTGTGTGTGTGTGTGTGTGTGTGTGTGTGTGAGAGAGAGAGAGAGAGAGAGAGAGAGAGAGAATATATTAGAGATTTATTAGGGTGGCTTACAGGCTATGGTTTAGCTAGTCTGGCTGTCCCCTGACAGAAAGGAAAGAATCGAGTGGTTGATGGGTACATGAGACTGGATGTCTCGGCTCAGCCTGTGCTGAAGCCCTGACCAAGTGTGTCCTCACGGCAACGGAGTAATGCCTTGACTGCGAGGAAGATGAACTTGCCGGTAAGCGTGAGGGCAAGCAGGCAAAAAGCAAAATCTTCCTCTTCCATGTCCTTCTGTGTAGGCTGCCAACAAAAGGTGTGGCCCAGATTTAGGGTGGATCTTCTCACCTCAAATTATCCAATCAAGGAAATTTCTTCAGAAGCACTCCCAGCTGCTTGTGCTTTAGTTGATTGCAGATGAAGTCAAGCTGACAACCAAAATTAGCTGTCACAAGTCCACCCTTGTCAGTTTGTCACATTTTGTCATGCCATGCATAATACAAATAGAAACAACAACCAGGTCATAATTACACCTAATATGATGTAACTCCCATGAACATTCACAAAGTACCCCATGTACATCTGCAAACAATTTTATACATTTTATATATATATTTTAGATAAGTGCCAGTGTCCCTCAAGGGACATTCTTTAAGTGTCTTATAACTTAAATATGACAGCCATTGCTATTGTATCAATTGATGTTACATGATAAAGAAATAGAGGGAAAAAACAAATATATGGGGTGTGTGTGTGTGTGTGTGTAATACGCTCAGCAGGTCTTGAATTTTAGAGGCATGACCCATCCCTTCATTCCTTTGGGGTCTGAGTTCTTTGTCAGTTAGCTTGGATTGCATTGTTGCAGTTTCCCATTGACCTTAACCTCAGGATATTGTAAGACCAAGAGAGCCTCCCTGATGGACCGCCTTCATTCTAGACATAATCTTCCTTACCTTCTTTGTGGAGAAGCAATCCAGTTCCTTCCGGTAGTCTGGATCAATCACCCCATCCTAACACTGACACTTCTTTTTTAGCCTGTTGATTTAAGGGCATCAGAAGCCCAAAGTGTCCAGGGAGACGTCTGAACTTCCAGTTCAAGGAAATGTTTATTGTGTCTCCTGGCAGGAGTGCTCACCCATCTGGAGCTAAACTTCCAGGCCATCCAAACTTAAGGCCATAAAAACAAGAAGCAAAAAGTTTCATAATGGGACACTGGGGTGATAGTGAGTGGAATGAATCCCATTTCCACCCCTGCATTCCTGGACCCCATGAGTCCTGACTATAAGGGAAACTATACTGTATATTGTATGTTGATTCAAAGAATATACAGCTTGCTTGAGGCCACTGCCACCTAAATGGTGCCACCTAACACAGGTGCTGTACCTGCGTTTTCCAAAGGTCATTATTCCACTGTTGTATCAAGCCAGCTGCTTTCGGATGCTGGGGAATATGGTAAGCAGCAGATCCCACGAGCGAGGGTCCACTGTGGCACTTCTCTGGCTGTGAAGTGAGTTCCTCGGTCAGAAGCGATACTGCGCGGGACACCATGACGATGGAAGAAACATTCTGTAAGTACACAGATGGTGCTTTAGGCAGAAGTATGACATGCAGTAAAGGCAAACCGACAATCGGAAGAAATTATCTACTCCAGTAAGGACAGAGCATTGTTCTTTCCACAGAGGAAACGGTCCAATGGAGTCAACTTGCCACCAGGCCACTGGCTGGTCACCCCAGGGAATGGTGCCATACTATATTTGGGGTTCAGTGCTGGTCTCTGCTCTTGGCAGATCTGGCACTCAGCAGCAGCTGTAATCAGGCCAGCCTTGGTGAGTGAGTTATCCATGTTGTTGAGCCCATGCATAACCTCCAGCTGCCACCATGACCATTTCGTTCATGGGCAGCTGGACAATGACTCAGATGACTGGGGAGAAGGCTGGCTGTCCAAAGAAGGGGTCGTCCTATCTACTTCCTCAGCATTTAAGTGGCACACAATTATCTTACATGCTTTGCCCATTCAGAGAGATCTGTCCACATACTCCTTCCCCAGATGTCTTGCTCACCCGTTTTCCATTCATGCTCTTCCCAGCCAGTCCATTGGCTACAGCCCATGAGTCGGCAAACAGTCGCACATCTGGCCATTTCCCCTTCCAAGAGAAATGTATAGCCATATGTACTGCCTAAAGTTCTGCCCACTGCGAAGGTTCCTCTTCGCTGGTGTCTTCCAGAGTTGTCCCAGAAATGAATGGTTTGTAATCCTGCAGCTGTCCACTTCTGAATGGTGCCTGCATAGCATGTAGAACCATCAATAAAACAGACCCTAGCCCTTTTTCCCCTCAGACAACCCCTGAAACTACAGGTGCATAGTTGGAAGCAGAAGGCCCTGTAATAGGAGTAGAACCCATAGGTGTCAGAACATGGTCCAAGAATGTAGTGGGAGATTTCTGAGTGCTTGTGAGAAAACTCCAAGAAAACAAGAGTCTTAGGACCTCAATTTCTTTAAAAACATGAAATTGTTTCTTGTATTATGCTTTCGTGCCTCCCCCAGGCGTAGCAGATAGGAGTGAGTCTACTTCAGTTTACTCATTACAGCTGGGTGTTGTTATTTGTAAACACATGCCTCTGCGGAAGAACATGTTATTAGTGCAGCTTGCCCTTGTGACTTACGTGACTCTGTATCCTTAAAGTGTGTATTGTATGATGTTCTGAATAAAGTTGGCTATTGCATGAGACTTTAGTCCGCCTCATTTCTTGCCTCCGTTCTCCCAGGCCCCACCACTTCTGAGTGTTAGATAATAGGCATTTGGGCAAAGGATTCAAGTAACTTTCTTTTTCTCTCAGGATCACATATATACAACTTCAATTTAATAACAGACTGTTGCTGTGTATATCCTACTTTATGGCTTGGTGGGTCAGATAATACCCAGCTGGGGTTGCAGAATAACTTGGTGGCCCATTGGCAAACATTCATTTTCCACTACGGCCCAAGTGCAAAGCAAGAGCTGTCTCTCAAAGTGGGAATAGTTGTCTCCAGATGATGGTAGACCCTTGCTCCAAAATCCCAAAGGTCTCTTCTGTGATTCGTCTATAGGAGCCTGCCAAAGGCTCCAAACAGCATCTTTATCTGCCATGGACACTTATAGTACCTCTGAATCTACTGGACCATATTGTCCAAGTGTTACAGCAGTCTGCACAGTGCTTGGACTTTTTGAAAACCCTTCTGTTCCAGACCCCACACAAAGCTAGTAACTTTTTGAGTTGCTTGGTATATAGGCCAGAGTAACACACCCAAGTGTGGAATGTGCTGCCTCTAGATCCAAATGAGCCTAAATATTCTGTGTCTTTCTTGATAGTGGGAGGTGCTAAGTGCAATAACTTTTCCTTCTCTTTAGAAGGAATATCTCTCATGTCCCACACAACTGGACTAAGAATTTACTTAGGATGAAGGCTCTTGAATTTTGGTTGGATTTATTTCCCATTCTCTGTGTTACCAACAAGTCTAAAGTTGTTACTACCTCCTGCTCATATGGACCATTCATCATAATGTCATCAATATAGTGGACCAGTGTGGTATTTGTGGGAGAGACAGAGACCATAACTATTCCTTCAAGCTGTGTTATGACACAGGGCCAGAGAGTTAATAGACCGATGAAGTACAACTATAAAGGTATAAAGCAAATTGATTCTGGTGATCTGTACAAACAGGTATAGACAAAAAGGTATTTTCTAGATCAACAGTTGCATGTCATGTTGCCTTTTGGCTTTTGAGGGGCTGTCATCCAGTTTCCAAAAAATTCACACAGTCTTATTATTATTTATAAATGGCTGGCCTTTGCTTGGCTTGTTTCTAGCCTGCTTTTCTTAAATTATCCCATCTACCTTTTGCCTCTGGACTTTTCCCTTTTCTTACTTCTGTAATCTTACTTTTACTCTGTGGCTGACTGTGTGGCTGACTCCTTTTCTCTCTCCTTGATCGCTCTTCTTGTTCTCTCTTCTTTTTCTCCCTTGCTCCTTCTTCTTTTCCTGCCAAATTTCTCCTTTATTCTCTCTACTGCACCCTGCCTCTCCTTTCTCCTGCCTCACTATTGACCGTTCGTCTTTTTATTAGGACCATCAGGTGTTTTAGGCAGGCAAAGAATCACAGCTTCACAGAGTTAAACAAATGTAGCATAAGAGAATACAACACATCTGCATCATTAAAACAGATGTTCCACGGCATAAACTAATGTACTACATCTTACTATTCCACAATATCATGTACCTGGAGATGGGTTAATTTGCTCAATGAGGACACCACATCTGGTAGCAGCAGCTGCAATTAGAGTTGCTGCCTATGCTTGTGATGATCAGCTATCCTTCTCCACGACCCATTTATATCCTGCACAGGCCAATCGGACAGCAGAAGGGGCATGTGCTGGGAACCACCATCCCTGCAGAACCACCATCCCTGCAGCTTTCAAGCCTTTGGTGCGGCTCTCACTTCTACAGTTCCTCCAGGTTCAATATATTCTATGGTTCACTCTTCTCCGCAGTAGAAGAAACTCAGATGGCCTCCAGTCTTTCCAACCATAATAGCCCTTACTTCAGAGACCAGGGAACCAGTGTGGGGATTCTGCCAACTTGTAGTTATATCCATTTCAATTATTTCTTCTGAAATTGGGGAGATAACCACAGGCTTAGCTCTGAGACCCCCTAGAACCAAAACTCCACTGACAGTGGACCTCCATAAGGCCCACTTTAGCAGGAGGGTCACAGTGCTCCTTAAGGTTTCCCAGAATCAGCACAGTTTTAAACCAGTGTCCAGTAGACCCCGGAAAATGATTGTTTCCTTTCCCCAAGTGTACAGCTGTCCTTGTAAAGTTCATAGGTCCCTATAGGGAAGGACGGGAGAAAGGCTAACAGTAAAACTCCTTTTGAGGTTGGGAGTAGAGAGCTTTTGAGACAGAGTTTCTCTATGTATCGCTGGCTGTCCTGAAATTCACTTTGTAGACCAGGCTGGACTTGAACTCACAGAGATCCTCCTGCCTCTGCCTCCCAAATTCTGGGATTAAAGACATGCACTGCCATCATCTGGCTAACAATAAAACTCTTAGATATTTTAGCAAGGTCCTTCCTCAGGTAGACCTGGCCATCTCCTCACTTAAGGAATTTTGGGCCTGCAGACTGGCCCAAGTCTGGAAATTGGTTTACAGGCCAAATTCTTTCCTACTATGATCCAGTGTAGTCTTCTTCCATTTGCTTCAGAATTTTTCTGCTTATAAAATTAAACAAAAATGTCATGGACTTACCTGTTTGATTCCTGGAAACACCATGACTTATTAGCTAATACCAAAGACATACAAATCATGCCACCATCAATAGCACTCTGCCTGTGCTGCCTATTAAGATAACTACAGTCACCTTGCCTTTGACAATGCATTGCTGCCACCTGGCCCCTGCTACACTGGGGCCCAATTAACCCATCATACATATTTAATTCATCTAACTGGGTACCAGCATCTCTAACCCTAAGGTCTGGCACAAGGAAAAGAGCCACCAGAAGTTCTTCAGATATGCTGATGCCCCTCTCACTATTTGGGTCTTACAAGATGAGTGAAAGGCATATCTTGTGGGCCTTCTCATGGTGGAGGGGTAAGGTTTCACACATCCACACCCGCATTGTCACTGTTGTTTCCTGAAGCTTTCATATCTCTTCATCAATACTAAACCAAGCCATATCAGGCATCTCCAGCTCCCATTCAATAGGCTGTCTTTTGATAAACGCTTCAACCAACCAATAACTCAAACCTTTTGACACCTTTAAAAAAACTGATCAAACTTCTATATTAAATTGAGACTCTCCACTCAGTGAATCTATATGTGATGGCCAATCTTGGTTGTCAACGTGACTCCATCTGAAACCATCTAAAACATGCACCCGAGGAACTTTCTTTATTGGATCCTTTGAGGTAAGAGGAACAACCCTAAATCTGGACCACACAGGACATGGAAGGGGGAAACTTTTCAATTTTATCTGCTTGCCCCTCTCTCTCACTGCCAAGTTCATCTATCATGCTGCTGAGGTATTACTTTCGGGGATTAGAACCTACCTCATTGGGATTTCAACACAGACTGAAGAAAAGTAAGACTTTCAGTCTTGTAAACTGAACAGCTACTGGATTATTGGCATCTCCCTTGGCAGTCAGTCATTGCTGAACTAGCTGGGCTATGTAGCCTGTGAGTCACTCTCATAGCTCCCCAGCTCCCATCTGCGTGTATTCAGTTAGTGCCAGTCCTCCAGAGAACCCTGAGTAATACTGGTTGTGGTACAAGAAGTGGGGTGGGTCGTCTCACCTCAAATGATTCAATCAAGAAACAATAGTGTGGCAGCCGCTTGTGTTTTTGGTTGATTCCAAATGTATTCAACTTGACAACCAAGATTGGTCATCACAGTTACATTTCTTAGTAAAATGGTAATAAAATGAAGTGTCATACTTCCCAAGGGTATGAAGAAAAGTCCTAGCACCAACATCATACTTACTGGTGGATAAAACAACAAAACCACACCGAAAACCTAAATGTGTCTCCCTAAAATGACAAGAAGAAAAGTATGTCTAGTATCACCATTTGTGTTAATCTATTTCCCATTGCTGTAACAACATAGTTAAGGTTCTCTAGAGAAAAAGAACTAATAGAACACCTCTATATATTAAAGTACTTAGGAATAAATTTAACAAATTAAGTGCAAGACTTATAATTTGACAATGAAAAAATTTTGCTAGAAGTTAAGGGCGATGTAAGCCAATGTTATCCCACACTCATGAATATGCAACATTGCTAACATAGCTCATGCCCCCAGATTAATTTTCTGGCTCGATATAGTTTCCTACCAAGATCTTAGTATGATTTCTAGAAACTGATAAGGTGAATCTGAAAGATTTATATGAAAATTCAAAGGATCTGGACTAGCAACACAACTTGGAAAAACTCTAACCGAGTTCAATGACTTATGTTTCCGTATCGTGGATCTTATTAATAAAGCTGTAGTGACCCAAATATTATAGTAATATAAAGACAGACAAGAATCAATTGCCCATAACTGAGAATTCCCAAATAAACCTTTACATTTATGTTTAATTGATTTTCAACAAAAGGATTCAGGCAACTCAGTGGGGGAAAATAACACTCAACAAATGTTGCTGGGACAACTGGATTTCAAAGAATGAATTCGATTTTTCTTCTGTGATAAAATAAATAAAATATGGATTACAGGCTGAAGGTAAGAGCTAAATCTATAAAACATTAGGAGAAAGCAGAAGTATTTGCTCATAGTTTGGTGAGTTCTTAGAAATGACACAGAATCACAATTTATCAAAAAAAAAGACTTACCCCAAGTTAAAAAAAAACACACTTTCAAAGACAGCAGTAGCTCAATGAAAAGATGAGTCACAGACTCATCAGGGAGGAAGCACCTCCCTGAGTTATCTTTGTCCTGTTAGATAAATGATGCCCAGACTACATGTAGAAGAATGAAAATAGACCCATATCTACCACCATGCACAACACTCAAATCCAAATGGATCAAAGACCTCAACATAAAGCTAGCCACACTGAACCTTATAGAAGAGACAGTGGGAAGTACACTTGAATGCATTGGCACAGGGAACCACTTCCTAAATATAACCCCAGCAGCACAGACACAGAGAAACAATTAATAAATGGGACCTCCTGAAACTGAAAAGCTTCTGTAAAG